TATTACAATGTCTAAACAGTACTGTACTGTACACTTAGCATGTCAAATTACTTTGTGTTTTTTTTTCTTTATAAAATGTAAACCATCTAAATTATGACCCTGTATGTGGAAGACTGCTACCATATGCATTGGGAGCCCTACAATTTGGACTCTTGGATTATTAAGAATGCTAAACTCATGGCAGATTCCAGTGTCACAAAGGCAGCTAACAAGTCAGTGACGCTGGTTGGTGACACGAGCGTACTATATTAAAGATGTAGTATGCACTTAGGCTAACAAGCATTATGTATCGCTAATATTAAATGGTGTGATTTTTTTGTGATCCAAATAATTTTCACTATAGTTTTTGGCTTCACATCGTGTGCGATTTTCTGAAATTTTGCAGTTCTAAAAGTTTAGAAGTTCTAAAAATATTCCCATTTACGTGTTCACAGTCAGTTTGCAAATAACCAAAACCGTGAATGTGAAAAGCCTGAATGGAAAGGGGTTACTGTATTTCCACATAGCCAATACGACATATGACACGCATGCCTTGCTGAACAATTAGCCGTGACACGACCCTCACTTCTGTATGTGGCATGTCGTGCTAAGGCTACATGCTGGAAGACACGACCCTCACTTCTGTATGTGGCATGTCGTGCTAAGGCTACATGCTGGAAGACACGACCCTCACTTCCGTATGTGGCATGTCGTGCTAAGGCTACATGGCATGTCGTGCTAAGGCTACATGCTGGAAGACCTACTGTATCTCTGATGGAAACTCAGGTCGGTTTCTTACTCCCCCTGCATCCCCGATATCCAATCCAGCATTTTTTGCCGGTATCAGCACGACATCGATAGTGAGTATTGGATTGGTGCCATGTCTAATGTGCACCAATAAGAATGAAGATCACCTGAGTCTTCAGCCAATGATAGAGACCGTCTCCCTGATGACTGAACACTGCTGCAAGGAATAAAGGTGAAACATAAGGTACTGCTCAAACGTTTTGTAAGACTGACACTGTAGTCAAGTCAATAAGACCTTAAGGTTAGCCTAACCTTAGGAGGAATCTCTCTTTACGTAGCTCTAAGACCTCATAGATGCCTCGGGACAGGATGAACATGACAAGAGGCTTTCGGCTGGCCTCTCCCTGTGCGAATACCCCGTGGATCTTTCACAGAGCAGAATCATTTTCCACATATATAATGGGAGCCGAGTCCGCATCTTTTCAAAGAGGTAGGCCTGTACATCTCAATTTCATCTCCAGCCTCCTCTGAGAAGAGGCTGAGTTTGTTAAGGCTTCCTGATGTGCATTCATCTCGGGCCAAAGGATGTCTTTGTTTGATCCACCTTTAATATTGTTCTGATGGATTTTCAGTCATGCTTATCTGCTTGGCCTACCTGTGACCCTGTCCTGAAGCACCTACAGACCCATGACTTATTTCTTTGCATTTCCTGTTACTTTTCTGTCAAAAAAAACCCTCTTTAAGCTTCAGAATATTGAGTAGGGAATTTGTTTCCCGGCAATCCTGTCTTGATCCTCAGTGGTCCATGTATATGATGGAGAGACATATGGTAGATGAATTTATGAGACATATCTGTTGTGCTTTCAAAGCTTCTGTCCATGGGAAATATTTACTAGAAATGGAATATATATGTGTTACATGATCATTCAGTAATAATAATCATATTGATGATGGTGTGCTGTTCACCCTGCAGTAAACAGTGATCTAACACTGAAATACTATTAGTGGTGTAACAGTTCTGATACCGAGACTGCGGGTCTCTTATCCTGGTTCTGGAAGACGGAACCTGCAGTAAAAGCTAAGCTAGTTTCATTAGCTCAAGATAGATGATAACCCAGAGATTGCAGAGCGCCCGACGTCACACATTGCACATTGACGTCAGCGGTGCAGGAACATTCTGGTTATCCAATAGAGTAGTATTTTATTTTTGTAATTTAATTTTATGTAGTTGTCTTATGTGAAGATAAGTTAATCTCACATGTTCTTTAGCCTTATTCTGTTTAGTGTTACAAATGGTTGGTGATGGAGGTAGACAAAAAATCCAGACCAAGATTTTGTTTCAACTAACCAGGTGACTATCAAGAGTGACTGGTTGACAAGTTGTTTGACACAAAATCTGGGTCTGACTTTTCACTTTCTGGACCCGAATTATCCACCACTGGTTGATGATTAATAAAACCCAGAAATTTGTCCTGTTTTTTTTCCCCTTATTGACCCCTCGCCCCCCCCCCTAAAAAAAAAACAAAACAAGGTATGAACTGAGAACCATGGCTCAAAAATTGAGGTCTGAACCAAATGATGGAATTGGAGAATCGTTACCCCCCTAAATATTATAGACCTTTCTCAACCTATATACTGTGAAACCTATATAGTGTGAACTTGCCTTTTTATCGTTATCCTTTATGTGCCATTTGCTAGGTCTCTTTAGAAACTAACATTACAGGATATATCACATTGTACTCATACACTGAAGCCGTGTTTTACACATAATACTGTAACTGTAAGGATGGGAGCAAATGCATCCTAAGCTGCAGTGTAAAACTATAGTAAAACCACAGTGTTGTGGGATTTAATTGGGACATTAATGCTGAGAGGCCCCTTTTTCAGCTCAGCCTTTTCAGCTCCTGCATTAACTGAACATGTCTCATAAATATTCCATCATAAACACTAGTGCTAATCTATTTTGAGATTCAAACTCTTCTCTCTAGACATCGCAGTGACTGATTGGACTTGAAATGCATTAATTGTATCCTAGCAACTGCAGTCAATATTTCTTGGCCGCAGCACTTTACTGTATATGATAATTATATTTAAGAAAGCAGAGTATGATTTTTAGGTCTTCAAGAACGACATATCTGATTTTCAGGTCTTGGACCGTCCCTGACACTGTAAATCGGCAGAAAATAGTGTTTCTTAAGAATACTTCAATCTGCTGGGATCAGAATGTGCCATTTTAGCCTGAGCAGGCTATCTCTGTCCAGCGCTCTCATGCATGTCTTTGCTAGTGCTGCCACTGCTTTGCTTTGACCTGCAGTCTGATGTCTCTCTGGCATGATGTCATAGTGTGCAGTTACTGTATTACCTTTTTCCCAGCATTGTTTGCTTCATTAGAACCTCTAAGATCCCAGCTCTCAGTGTCATTAGCAGCCAGTCCATTGCACTCTTCAAACCAGCATATCTGTCATCCCTGTGCTGCTCTCAAGATAAGAAACGGCATTTAGAGTAGTCCTCACCTTCTGTTTTTAAAACATTAATGTGTATTGGAGCACACGCACCACAGCCCTTCCTTTAATGGAACACTCCACTAATTGTTTTTATGCAAATTTCACATGGAACATTCTTCATGTGTCTTTGTATTAGATTAATTCAATCAATGAGCCTGCAAAGCTAGCCTGCTAAGGCCCTCAGTGGCCATTTGATTCACTGCACTCATTTTATTCAACTGCCAGTGCATCAGTGGAGAATTGCACCTGCACTGGAGCAGCATGGAACTGTACTGTGACACTGGACTGGCTGATCTTGGAGTATGGGTGGAAATATTCCAGGAAAAAGAAGCACATAATTTTTCCCGGGCCTCATTTGATGGAACCTTATGGAACCTGTATAGAATTTATGATTAAAATTATACTTTGGGGTTTGATCAAGTCGTCCTTTCTGTTCTTTCTGTGGTCCTGTATCCTCCTTGATGAATTGTCAATATAAGGCATTTAAGGTGTGTTCCATGTTGGTTACCATGGTCACCATGGTAACCAATAGAGATCACCGTGGTCAGTAACATCAATCCGGCGGCAGCTCCTCTGCTCTATTCGTCTTCCTTCCTTTTCTTTCTTCATTAGCTTTCCAGTTTTTCTCATTAATGATCTGCATGCACTTTCTCCCTTGGTTGATGAAATATGATTAAGGAGGATGACATTGAAATGAAAATTACAGTAGAAAATATGTGTTGTCTTCTCCAGGGGTTGGTGAGGGATGACAGGATTGTTGGTAGAATTTGCTTTGTTAAACAGCTGGACTCTGAATCTGGAAGTCAGCTAATGCTTAACATCTGTACAGGTTTACTCAATGCAGGGGTTGAATAACAGCTGAGTAGCTTGGAACTGGTGAGAAGAGTTTATTCTCATACATCGATATTCCGACACCCTGCACAGCACACTGTAAATGCATCTGAAAGTCTGTGTATGTATATTTGCATATATTTACGTATGTAAATTTGTAGTATTTAATGCAATTTTCACATGATTTGGGCATTGATCTAGTATGGCATGACTTTTACATTAAGATTATATGATATTAAGGTCCCACTTATCTTGATTATGAAGTATCTATGTCTAATTCTCCACTTTTTCTATCTGAAATAACACCAAATTATGTTTGTGAGTAATATAATGACTTTATTGGCTCAGTCCTCATGTTAATGTTTTAGCTGAATGGTCCATGTCAGTCTTTACTAATATGAATGTCCTACTTCCCTTACAAAGATGTTAACTTTGTAAGCCCTATATGCAGTGTTAACTGCACTGTGATGCAGTGAGGTTCTTGGACTGAGTTGCTTTGTAAGTTAGATGAGAAAGAGGTTAGATTTAACTGAAATTAGTCATGCCACAGTGTATCTGAGATGCTAACCTGACTCATCTGGGTCATCTTTACCCAACCTTCAGCCATATCTGAAAGTCAACACGTAGTAGCCCTATGTACAATTTTCAGTAGATCTGGTAACATATAAGCTAACAATGGCTTCAGATCCAGCTAAATGTTTTGGTACCATTCCCATGCTCCAGACATCACCAAAACCCTTAGAGATGGCATGTGTTTGCTAGACTGTGACTGACCGACTGCCGGCAAGTATTTTATCGAGGGCAGTCTTGTTCTTTTAGTGTCTTACTTATATGCAGAAGGAAAGGGGAAAAAATAACAGTCTGCACCTTGGAAGTTTTGTGGCCAATGGTTATTAATTTCAGTTTTAAAAAATGCTGAGGAGAATCTGGCTTTCTCAGGTCTACGAACGAGGGACCAACATGGAGCAGTTTGTGACGCGCTTCCTGCTGAAGGAATCGGCCAATCAGATCCAGTCCCTGCTGAACTCCGTGGAGAGCGCTGTGGATGCCATCGATGAGCAGCACGGCCAGTCAGGGTGAGCTGGCTGCTTCAGAGAGACTCAGCTGTGGTGTTTTTCACCTTGACCACCTTCCAAGCAATGGGAAGCTGTCATTCTGTGCTGTGCTGGCGAGATCGCATTGACTGGGACTCTGAATGCTTGTATGATTCATATAATGGGAGTTTAATGGCATTTCACTGGCTTCTAACCCGCCTAAATTAAGACCACAGAGAAGCACACTGAGAATTACACTGAGAAGCACACTGAGAATTACACTGAGAAGCACACTGAGAATTACACTGAGAAGCACACTGAGAAGCACACTGCTTCACATGCGACCACTCCCTGTCTGTGTCTCCTACTCTTATTGCCTTCATAAGCTCATACGTACAATTGGTGTCACCTTGTTTATCTACCTGTTTGTGTAATATCTTATTTCTGTTTTACTACCTCTATTTTACTTTTATATATATATTTTTTCTCTCTTGATTATATGTTTAATTGTATGTTTGACTCCTTATGTCGTACCACCACCTGTAGCAGGAAGAAATTCCGTGTACTTTTTTTTTTTCAAAGTGAATAAAGATTCTGATTCTGATCTCGGCAGGCTGTGTCCGAGCAAAACGAGCCCCCGTGCACCAGACAGCTGCTATGTGAGCCCTGTGCCCGACTACCCTCCCAACAACAGGGTGAGCGCCAAGGTGACCATGCGGACCATCAGCCCGAGCGCAGGTGAGCAGAGTCTCCGCCGGCACCTGCTCCCCAAAGCAGAGCGCGAGCTCTGCCGTCCCGGTGCACTGTGCCCCCACACTTTGAGCAATGAGCTTACGTGCAAAGCAGTGTACCTTGCAGCATGTCCTTGTTTTCCTTTTATAAATGAAATAATTCTCTTGGCAGAATACAAAAGCTCTACAGTTGCTGAACAGAATAGGGTGTCATCAGAAACTTTAAATACGTGTTTCATTCCTCCCTGTCCTACTTGCACCATGTCTGTCAGATGCAGTAATTCCTGGGGGGGGGTGAAATATTTCCTAATGGTGTGTTGCAGTCAGATTCCCTCTCAGCCTCACTGCATTCGTCAACCTATATTCACGCAGCTCAAAGAGGTGTCTGTGCTTGAGATAAAGACGGTCTCCTGTGTTTTGATTGCTGTTTCATTGTCAGATTGGTGATGCGGATGACGGTTCAATTCAGAACCGTCGTTGTTCAAAAATAAAGGCTCTTTCTGGTCATTTCAGGGATGAATGCGAGGTTATGGGTGTGACAGCATGTCACAGAGTGCATTACCACTCACTGTCACTGCTGTGTGTGTATTTATAAGCCAGAGTTGCTGAGGTCTACGGCTTTAACCCTTTCTTGTCCCCCGCTGTCACATTATAAGAAAAAAACAGGATTTTTTTCAAATATTAGCCATGTTCTCTCATCCAGTATTTCCTATTCAGACTTATATTCTCTTTTCTAATTTAATAACTGGCCACCTGACCACACTCATGTACTTGAGTCAGTGGTCTAAACTCTAATTCCACATACCTGATATTTCTCATCTGTTTTGTTTGAAAGCACTTCATTGCCATAGATATCAGGCCCTGGGCAGGAGCATGGCCGGTTCTACCTACCAAGAAATCCGATGATCATTTCACTTCCTGCGTAACGTAGGTAATTCAGGGGTCCTAAGCAGCTGCATGTTCTGTCTATAGCTAGAGTCGGCTCTGGCTAGGAGTTTAGCATGAATGAAATCTCTTGCTCTGTGTGGAGTATAGTGTCATCCGCCAGCCGCTACCACAGACGAGAGAGAAGGGCATTCTGGGTCAGCCGGTGTGCTGATCATAGGGAATGTTTGTTAGCGGAGTCAGCACACCTGTGAGCACAGACCCTCATCTGTGTGTGACTGGAGTCCAGGAGAACAAACCAGGCCCAGCGACGAGGACGTTAGCTTCTGCTCCGCAACCATCAGTCCCCGTGCCGTGCTGAACGTGCTCCCCCTCATACCCTGTGCTGTTTATTACAGGGCTATACTATTATACGCTACCTTTCTCTTCTCCAGTGACCTACTGGATTTAATCTTATTAGAAGATGAGGTTCTTCCATAAGGGGGAAAAAAACGGGAAGATTTTCAGGGCCCAGACACTAGAGGGTGCCCATGAGCACATGGTAGGTTTGTTTTTTGTGCAGCCCTGTGCTCAAAGAATGTAGAGAAGCACATTCCGTGATGGATGGGGGAAGGTCCGATGGCATATTTAACAATACACTAAAAAAGCATTTTATACAGTGTTTTATTGGAGCACATTGCCCTTTCTTGTTCTCTTATAGTACTGGTTTCAGAGTGATTTCTTTGAGCAATTTGGCCGCTGCTCTCTGTAACGCAGATTCTTACGATTGCGTGCGTCAGAACATCATTCCAAGAGGACCACTAAAACCACAAAGCTTGATGCTAAGGTCCATTGGTTTTCACAACACCCTGCCCCCACGTCCCACAAAGGCCATCATCAGTTCTGCTTTCATGTAATAAATGGACTCTGAGCGTCACGTGTGCAGGCAGCGAGCTGGGAAAATCATTCCGGTTTCCCAGTGTCCCGCACTCTGTGGTGCCGTGTGGCGCACAGTGGAGATGCTCCCGACTGGGAGGGCCTCATCATTAGCACAGGAGACACACGCCGAAAGGCCGATGTACGGCTGTTAAAAAGGGGTCGAGGATTTCCGGCGTACATCCTACTGCAGTGAAAATAGATTTGTATGTCCGGAGGGGTGTTAAGCCACACACTGCAGAACAAACTAGGCATCGCCGGGTGATAAAATGTTGATTTTGATGCCGTTGCAGTACAGAGAGGATCATAATTAGCCTGTTTCTCCTAATTACCCGTGTGCCACCGTGCTGAACTCCCGCCTGCTCCCCAACGTGGTGCCCAGGCCGTAAGGGAACTGGCCTCCATAGATGCAGCATGGATCTCTCTTCACGGGAGGGGGCTGAGTTTAACTGCATAGAGCAGGACGGCCCGTCTAAATTTAGCTCTTTTGGAAGGAGAGCCGCCCCGCGATCGGTGATGGAGGGGAGTGCACTATCTGCAGGGAACATGCACACCCAGGGAAGGACGACCCCTTGTCCTATCGGGGGGGGTCTCAAAGGAATCGCTCTGCTCTGTTCTGCTCAGCTTCACACGGGAAGTTTGCAGGCTCCAGGCTGGTACCTTTGTACCATCCGTGTTACCATGAGGGCCAGTGCCAACTTTTGGGCTGCAGCACAAATCAGCAAATTCAGCAGAGTAAACATGCAGCTTCAGGCCCACAGTACACTAGAGAAAGCACCCCCCCCCC